TATCTATCTGAAGACTTCAAATGTGAAAATTGATCCTGTAGCAGAAGAATACTATACTTATTATGGCTGGCTTTTGCATTAGGTGTTGAACTAAGAATTTTACTATTTACTTGAATAAAGGATTGCACTGTTTGACCAAAAAAAGTTTAAAATATATCAGAATTTGGTCATTTGAAAGTCATCTATTTCCTTATCATCTGCAACTTCTTTTTATAATTATTACTGTAACTATAACTTACCTATGAGCTGTAAGAACATTTTAAATGTTACAAATATCAACTGAACTTTATTTCCCACAAAGTCAAGAAAATTTGAAAATATCCATCTCCACTGCTGAATCTTGGAGACAACAGATTTGGTATTCTCATTAGGGTTTTCTAGAAAGTCTGTTTTAACTTTATTTGAAGCAGCTTATGGCAGTGCAGGGTTGAACCAGTGGGACTACAGCCAGGCACTTGCACATTGGCTTATGTATGTGAATGTGTGCAAGAGAGATACACTCCAAGGCAGAAACTCCAGTGAATTAATAAATCATTCTCATTCTGGGCATATGAGAACAAATTTACCAAGCACCTCACACTCAAGAGAGAGTACCAATGCCCCCTGGACTTTAGCACTGTCCACTTTTCAGTTTTGGAGAAGGGAAGGAAAGGCTATTCCTGAGGTAACAGAAAGCACTTTTACACTATTTAATATAATACACATTGTCTTTCCTAGCTACTTTCCTTCTCATAAGATCATACAGAGGACTTCATAAGCTTTGGGACAATTGAGATCATAAGAGCAGATGACTACGAGATATAAAAGAAAAAAGTCTGTCCCGTTCAGATGCAATATTTCTCAAAGTTTCTGGGAGAGAAACCAAGATGATCAGTCCAATTTCTAGAATATTCATTGGTTTGTTGCCCAGTTTAAAGGTGAAACTCAGCTTTAGAAATCTTCCAGCAGGTTACAGTTTCTGCTTCTCTAATTCTTCTCCTTTCATTCCCCACTTGGCTCCAATCCAGAAAATATTCAATACAAAAAACCTTGTATAATCAGTGTTTATACTATTTGTGTCATAAATGGCACAAGAAATTGAGTCAAAACAGTATAACTCCTCCAAAGAAAACTTTTTTCATTACTTATATATCAAAAACACAAGTCTCTGTGTCAGTGGGGCTGTAATTTGTCCAGTCAGTTGTTGCAGCAAACTTGGAAAACTGGGTATAAATTACCTTGACAATACTCCAGTATTTTTTATAGGTGCCAGGGTGAATATTTAATGTTGAGATATGCTAGTGTAGATACTTCTCCATTTCAATCATGATTTATAATTAATGTCTGTGGATAGGGATCTATTTTTTAAAAATAATAATTTGGAGGATACAATAACCTGCTTTAACTAGAAGAGTAAGAAGACCTAATGCTAACAATGTGAAAAAGAAAAAACATTTTTTTCCAAGACTACACAAGTATAAAAGTATGAATTCTGCATTTTTTCATCTCAATAAATCTCTTTCCTAAATTGAATTCAAAATTCAGGATGTATTACACATGTTCAGAGAAAACACCCCCCCCAAAGGCAGTGGGTAATGAGGGGATTCCATCTCACTTTTCTACTGTTCACAGGTTGTTGAATATGCTGAGAAAATGACATCAAATTTGAGAAGATGTATTGGAATTTAATGGCCTCTTTTTAAAAAAATATTAGCTAATAGACAATTTCCTTTCTAAATATTTGCACATATTTGCACAATGGGCTAAATCACTGAGTACCTCTGGCCATTTTTTAGTATTCTGCTATCCACAAAGCAGTAAGTCATTGTAAGGAAAAGAGCATGTATTAAACTTTTCACGGGAAATTGATAAGAAAAAGTATTTTTAGAATTCTTTTCTAGGCTAATTAATCTGCCTTGAGCAGTCTATGTATGCAAGTAGGAGGCACTTAATCATCCTTCTGAAGCAGAAAGTGCAAGTTTTGTAACATGCATCCACTTGTCAGAAACAACCACGCACCTTTGAAACAGAGCCTTATTTTTAAAGCTGAAAAGATGGACAGCCCTGAGCTAAGTGAAATACATGAAATTGAAAATACACCCGAACATAGTTTACTTAAATAAAATTAAGCATCCAAATCTCTGCAACTCCATTCTCATTGCTTTCTACCCCTCTACTATTCTGAAAACTTCCAGTATAAGGAGGGCAAACCAGAAATATTTGCTGGTTTATTAGAGAATGGAAATGCCCTTATCTTATTGCCTAATTTACCATGTAATATAATTAATGTATCTTTTTGTATCTCATTATGTTGACATAGACAAAAATAGTACACAGATGTGTTTATTAGGATTTGAAGGAAATCTCTGAAAATACCAGTGGCATCTGTCTTCAAGGTGTGGGTGGATTATATTCATAAAAATGACATACGTTCAGATAAATAAAAATCACGTCTCACATAAGCTTCTGAATTTAATGTTTTACTATTTTAGCTTTCCTGAATTTCTGTACAAAATCCTATTATCACTATGGAAAGAAACACCAGCCTTATTTTCCTTCAGGTCATATAGGATGTGAGGTTGGTGATGATATACATAACTCCAAGACAACTCTTTAAGATAAAATGCAATTGGATGAATAGATACAGAAAGTGTGACTTTTAGAATGTGAAAAGCAGAAAGAAACATTCAGGTACCATACACTTTTAAGTGCAATCTCCTATATTGCAGAATGGTTTTATTACTTATTAAATATTACAGCTGAAATGTCAAAAAGGTTAGAGGTCTAATACTTTGATAAGAGACATTGAGACAAATGAACCCATGTATCTGACTTCTCATCTACATAAAATTTTCCCTGCACTGCCTCTTGCAAACTTAAAATAGTAGAAAAGAGTAATTATTACAAACCCAAGGGCATGGATAAATAGTGTCTGCCATCTTACACACGCTAAATGCCAGAGAAGAAAGATTGAAAATATTAACTACAACAACTGATTCTTATCCTGTCAGAACTTTGCAAATACAGAATATGATTTCTGTAGTGATAACATTACACCTCTCCTATCCATTTTTCATTAAAAAGTGCTACACAGAAGAATTTCAGAGATTCTGTATGCCACAATCCTTGTAGCCACCAAGTCCTGCACAATAACAAGGGAGATTTTTATGTAAACAGGTGACTTATGTTGTTTTCCTTTAGTGGCCATACCTGATAACTCCATTGGTATGTCTTAAACTACATAATTTCAATTTTCTTAACACTATAGGATTGTTCAGACACTAAAGAGTGATACTCAAAACACGAGCTTAGTTACAAAATTACTAATAAATTCCAGACACTGCCTGGGAAATTTCCTGAAGAAGCCTACTAATTATTTTTCTTTATTTTATTGGGTTCATTCTTCTTTGGTTTTCAAAAGATTTGTATAAATATTGTTTTTCACCCTGTCATGAAACACTTCATTTTCTTTAGACTGTATTTTCTTCTGTGATATATTAATAGGAGTCTTAAAAAGTCATGTATATCAACCAGGAGAAAAAAAATATCCTTTGGGGAAAAAAGAAAACAAACATTATGATATCACTTGATTGCAAATCAAAGAATATTTTCATCCAATTCAACTTTTACCTCTATGTTCTGCCAGGGTGAGTTTCACTTACATGTGTTGCATGACAGCCTTGTGATCATATATCCTGTGCTTAATGCTGGAGAAGGAGCAACACACAGGGATATCATTTGCAGTACCCAGTGACATAATTTTCTTCTACATGTTTCCCAGAAGAAAGGATAACGCTCACTTCTCTAGTAGCTGCTTGTGTTTACCAGAAATAGCTGCTTATGCAATTAGATTTTCACATTGTATTTTCTGTATTTTCCCTGAAAGCAGGATCAGATAGGATCTATATAAGCAATCAACCATTATATTAAGTAACCATAGAAGTTAGAACATTTTTCCTTACTACAATGTAAATGATCCTGACTGAAGTTTCATTTTGTATAGAGCATAAACTCCAAATGCCAACTTGCTAAGCTCCAGTGTTTCTGTGCACTATTTCCTTAAGGCGAATTCTATCCCCATGTCTTCTAAATCAGCATGAGCACATAGAGCACCAGATATTTTCATTTTATTATTGTCCATTTTGACTGTCTTGATTCTAGCATGTTGTTGACCAATGTCATGCCATTCCCCAGCCATACATGGCAAATATTTCCAGTTTTTGTACCGACAAAATTGTTAGGCAGTTAATTTTTTGGACAGATATTTTATTAAATAGACTTAGTTGTGAATGAATATATTTCACTGATATAATGAAATAGGATCATAATCAGAAAAAATGCAGCAGAATTTTAGGGGAGAGATGTTTACATCAAGAATGAGAGTGTGATTAATCTTTCTTCAATATATGAGATCAGTGCATTATGTGACTTTGAAAGAATAAATAGTTACTCCTTATTACAAACAACCAAACTACAGATTAGAAACTAAGTGGCGACTCCCAAAATTTCCTTTTCAATAGTAAGGGCCAAAGTAAAAATTTAACAGAATCTCATAGTAAGCAGTCATGTTTATGTTTTACTTTCAAACAAAGACTTTAATCACTACACTTGTGTATCAAGGTCACACCATGGCTTTACTAACATGAGAACATAGGACTGAGCAGTAGTTTTAAAAATATAGTGATGTAAACATCAAAAAGTACCAATAGGCTAAAGTAAATTCAGTGTATAGCAAAGTGATCAAATTTACTGTAGCGTCTAGCTATCCTTTTTTCTTTCCATGTCTAGTTATTGAAGAATTATTTTGGTGACATCTATCTGCACTAATGAAATGAGGCTACTAGCAAGCAAGTGGAATGGTCATAGTGACAGCACAATGTCTTTTTCAAAAAAAAAAATTAGCATCCTTGATGCTTTGCAGCTTACATAGATGAATTTCCTTAAGAAATAAATCTTGTGTTTCGATGTAAAATCTCCATGCTCTTCCTCACATAGAAAAGCACCAAACTAGAAAGTCTCACCTGTCTTATGAAGCTGGTTCTGGATCATTGGTTTAATTTTTTGGTTCACGAGAGCTACTCATCCAAAAACGCTGTAAAGAAAAACAAGATATATAAAATATTATTAGATAACCAAGTCATCTAACTTTAAAAAACAGAATTTTCTGAAGTATAAGCACATTGATCAATTAGGCAGTTTAATGAATCTGTCATCTTGCATCAGTAATATTTTCTAAATGAAGTCATATTCAGTATAAAAGCCTTATTATTATTCAGAACACTTTTCAGCTACAGCTGTAAGATTTGATTAAATCAGTATGTGCCTAGTAGGAACAGTTGAGAAAAGCAGTGTGAAAATACATGCAATGTTCACAGTTCAAGAGGAACAAAATGCCAGGCTAAATTCCACAGCTAAAATCAAAGTATGTATTAAACTCTACCTTTCTGAGATGTTTCCCATATTAAGCAAAGTTTTTCTCAATTATTTAAAACTGTTAATATTCAATATGTTTTAAAATGTTAAAATTAGCAAAAATAATAAAATTTTTGAGATTATTGTGCATCTAGTCCTGCAGCAGTATCTCTGGCTGTTTTTGCTTCCTGCATACCAAAGCATGAAAGCTGATATAAAATAAGAAGAATGAGAAATGAGAGGTCATAGAATCACAGAATGGTGGAAATTGAAACAGACCTTCAATGGTCATGTTGCACAAACCCCCCTGCTCAAGCAGATCCATTTAGAACAGGTTGCTGAAGACCATGTTTGGGTAGTTCTTTAATACATCCAAGGACAGAGATTCCACACTTCTTTGGAGAACCTATGCGAGTGATCAGTCTCCCTCACAGTAAAAAAGTCTTTCCTGATAATTACCTTGAGCCTTCTGTGTTTCAGTTGTGCCTCTTGGTAGCTTACTGAGCACACCTGAAAAGAGCCTGACTCAATCCCTCGTACACCCTCTCTTCAGGTACTTGTACATACTGCTAAAATTGCCCCAAGGTTTTCTAGGCTAAGCATTGCCTGCTCTCTCAGCCTTTCCTCATACAAGAAATGCTCTAGGCCACTCACCATCTTTGTGGCCCTCTGCTGAACTCTCTCCAGTATGTCCATGTCTCTCTTGAACCAGAGAGCCCAGAACTGGATGCAGCACTCCAGTTGTGGCCTCACCAGGGCTCTAAGCAGAGGGGAAGGGTCACCTCCCACGACTTACTGGAAGCACTTCAAATGAACCATTAACATTCATTGTCCCAAGTGCAGATTTGTGGCTCCTGTTCAGCTTGGAGACACCAGGATCTCCAAGTTCTTTCTCAAAGCTATTTCCCAGCTGCTTGCACCTTAGCACGTATGGGTGCCTGGGGTTGTTCCTTCTGAGGTGCAGGACTGCACTTTGTTGAACTTCATGAAGTTCCTGACAGCTCATTTCCCCAGCCTGTTAAAGGTCCTTCTGGATGGCAGCATGACCCTCCAGCATATTAGTTATTCCAGCCAATTTTGTGTCATCTCCAGAATTCAATGCTCATTCATAATAGTAGGACACAAAAGTCACATGAATTTAATATGAAGAGGCAACAGTTTCAATTACCAATGTCAAAATTTTATTTTGATCTGCAGGTTTTTTTTTTTTTTATTTACATAAAAATATGTCTTATTTACATTGAGAAGGCAGAGTTTCTGGCATTTACTAGAAAACAGACTTTCAGGAAGAGCCACTTGTAATATTAAAAGTACCCACTCCTAGGTGTAGGTCAACAGGATCGATACATATTCCCAAAAGATCAGCATACAGAACATGTATGTTCTAAGAAAGTCTTATCAATGTACTATGCTAATAAGCCTTAGAATCTCTTCCAAAATGGGTATGTATTTTTTGAATCATTATGCAGGTGTTGCTAAGAAACTGAAGTTTATTCTTTTTATGTTTAGTATGCAAGATCTAAAGTTTTGAACACCACTTCCGTGACTCCTCTATTTTGCCATTAAATTATCTTACCCACAGGAAATTCAAATCAAACACAAAACCATGAGATGGACATTATAAATTTCAGATGACAAAGCAGCATCAAATGAGCTATAAATTAGTTGAAATAAACTCCATATGTGTAGATAAGTATGTACACGAAAAAAATATTTTTGTGCAGATGGAAAGACTGGGAAAAAAAAAGCTACAAAGGAGATATAAAGAAAACTGACATGATTCAATATTGAAGAAAATATCGAATGATCAATTTTTTGTATATTCTAAGGACCCCATGAAATCCAAAAAAGATTAGAACAAATTGTTTATAATGCTTCTAATGAAGAGAGGTTGCTGTGCTCTGGTGAGCTACCCACAGTAACAGTACAAGTATAAATGTGATAGATACTTATCACTTTCCTGCCCCTGCACTAGAACAAGAATTCTGCCTTAGGAAATGGAGGTTTTTGGAAATCAGTTCATGATGCATGATGACATTTTGGCATGGCCTGCTGATACAATGGGAAGAGCAGAGCTGCTCAGATATACAAATAGAAACCACTACACACACCATTTTACGTCATGGTTCTATAAATGCTTTACTCTGTTCCTCAGGATATATTATCTGGAGCATTATAAATTCAATAAAGTCAATTAATGTGAACTATTTCTAGGCAGACTACTCTTAAAAATCATGGATTTAAGTCTAAGTAATGTCTAGTTTTCTAGATCATGTTCTCTTTTGTATCAGAGATAAATAACAGATTCTGACGCAAGAGAGAAAGAGCTAGTATTCTATTTTAAATTCAAGTCTAATTTAAAAATATAACCTCCAGCAACTTCATTGTCACTACAATCAATCAAAGTGATAGCATTGGAACTGCAAACCACTTCCTCAGTCACATTTGCTAGTGCAATATTTATGAATTGCTTTCCTCATCATAGCAATTTAACTGGTACTGCTATTACAGAGACAAGAACAGTCAAATACCAGTTATCCTAACTAATACTATTATTTTCAAAATATTTTAATTGCTCTTGAATTATAAAACATATAGGCTATTTTTAAAGTATAAATACCACAAAAGATTACACACACTCTCGTACATGCACATAAATATGCTGACATGTACTTTTTTTCTATCAGCTGAAGGTCAGTGCTGTTTTTAAGCTAAAAAAGCTCCTCTATTCTCTTTTATTGAGAAGGACTATGTCCAATGTTATCTTCCTACTTTACAAGATAGAACAGATGAGAAGGAAAACAATACTCTGTGTCATAAACACAACATATGCATTAATTCCACAGTACCACCCAGCAGTTTGAGCTACCTTCCAGGAAGGAAACAATTGCCTTCAAGCCCAGTGATGAGAACCCTAAATGCTCCATGTCTTATCCTAGAAGAGGGTTTCAAAGCCTGAATAGAGTGCACAAAAGGGCCACAGGGACTGGGCCCATGTACATCTGGCCAGGAGGAAACACACAGGGCTGCTCCCAGACTGCTGATGCGTACGTGCCTGACAAGAGGTGTAAACTGAAGCTATGACTAGAAGACATTCTGAGCTCAGAATTCACTCCTGGGATAAATGCTTGAAAGCTCAGATCTCTTGCACAATTATTTTGAGCCTAGTCATCTTATTTCCCTCTAGATATAATCTTGGATTTTTATTCTGGGAGGTATTGAAAAACACCTGAAGAACAACACAGTCATTGGTCACAGCCAGCACGACTTCATGAGAGGAAAGCCCAGCTTAGAAAACCTGATTTCCTTTCACAACAAGGTAACCCATCTAGTTATCAAGAGAAATCAGTAATAAGAGGTAATCTGTTAGGATTTCAATAAAGCTTTTGATAATGTCTCTCAGAGGATCATTCTGGACAAAATGTCCAGCACACATCTGATAAAAACATCCTAGGGTTGGTGAGCAACTGGCTCACAGGTCAGGTACAAATGGTTATAGTGAATGGGGTGACATCAGAGTCATGACCTGTCACTAGTGGGGTTCCACAGGGCTCCACCCTCAGGCCTATGCTCTTCAACATCTTCATTAACCATTTAGCAGGACTGGATGGAACACCGAGCAAATTTACAGATGATACAAAACTGGAAGGAGCTCTTAACTCCCTTAGAATCAAAGAGACACTGCAAAGAGACCTCAACAAATCAGAGCATTGGGCAATCACCAACCATAAGAAGTTGAACAAGGGAAAATGATGGATTCTGCACCTGGAATGGGGTAACCCTGGATGTATGTACAGACTGGAAAATTAGATTCTGGAAAGCAGTGCCATGGAAATGAGATCCTGGGGGTCCTGGTGAACGTGAGCCAGCAGCGCTCTGGCAGCCATGAGGGATAACTCTTTCCTGGGTGCATCAGGCACAGTATGGCCAGCCGGGCAAGGGAGGGGATTGTCCTGCTGTGCTCTGCAGCAGCCTCACCTCGAGTGCTGCGGACAATTTTGGGCACCACAGTGTAAGAAGGATATTAAGATATTAGAAAGAATCCAAAGGAAGGTTTTGCATACCACAAAGGTGGTGAAGGACTTTGAGGCGAATCCATATGAGGAGTGACCAGGGGCACTTGGTTTATTCAGCCTGAAGACAAGGAGACTGAGGGGAAACCTCACTGCAATCTACAACTTCCTCATTAGGGGAAGGGGAGGGGCAGACACTAAACTCTTCTTTATGGTGACCAGTGAGAAGACCTAAGGGAATAGGCTCCTCTGTGTAAGGGGAGGTTTGGGTTGGATATCAGAAGAAGTTTCTTCACTCAAAGGGTGATTGGGCAGTGGAACAGGCTCTCCAGGGAAGTGGTCACAGCACCAAACCTGACAGTTCAAGAAGTGTTTGGACAATATGCCTGGACAGCTGAGTGACTCTTGGGGACTGCGCTGTGCAGAGCCAGGAATTGGTCTCAAGGATCCTTGTGGTCCCTTCCCACCCAGCTTGTTCTGGGATTCTGTGATTATTTTTATTGTTTCTATCTGTCCATGGGTTATTAGCAAGTTCCATAAAAAATTGCAGGAATCCCTTACTATTCTTACAGCCATCATTTCTGGTGAGTACAATTTGCAATATTTATAAGTCATTTAGGAACATTGGCAGTTTGCTGAATAAGGATTTCATTAGAGCTGCCCACTTCATCTTCTTGTTATGTTTAAACATACATAAGCCAACCAAAGACTGATCTGTGGCTTAGGCTTCAATGGAATAATAAAACATAATTAACAGTGTCATTGCAATTTTCAGACATCCCAGAAAGGACCCAGATGAAGAGTGGGGATTGCACCTCTCTTCTGATTGATTTCGCCTTTATCAGACATCTTTAAAATATTAAATTGGGTTCTTATACATGGATTAAACATAGTTGTAAGTTTTCTCAAGATAGTAGAGGCTACAAGCATATTTTTTCCTTTTCTAATTTACTCTTATTTCTTATAACTACAAAATAACTTGATTGAAATCCAAAAGGGTTAGTAAAATGGCTTGGATCCATACATAAATGTTTTTACTTTCAAAAATTTTGGTTCCTGTGCTTTAGCTCTTGCCTAACACAAGTAATACAGTCACGTGAACTCAAAAAAGAGCCAGGACATGCTCCAAAACTGGAGTGCTATCCTGATTATGCTCTGTTCCCTGCAAAATCATACAAGCAGAAAAACAAGGCTTCCTGTCAGACTGGCTGCTGCACCTGAAGTTTTTAAACTTAAAAGCCTAAATTTAAGTAGGCTGCAACAGTTCCACCCTTCCTTCTGGCACTAAGTATATTTAGACACTGATGACGGTCCCTTTGAGAGCAGCCCCTGAAGTACAGTCTTTTTTCATTTACCGGAAATAGTATGATAAGCAGTATAATACATAAATACTGCCCTGATATAATCATATAATTGTTAAAGTTGATTTGTATTGTCTGCAAGTACACAGGCAAGATCCCTCTGACCCCAGCTTCATATGCCCTTGCTTTTTTCCAAAGATGTTGAAAAAATGGCAGCTTTAAAAATCTCATTATTGTACTACTGATGGGGCCCAAAGGCAGTTGTATATGACAGACTTGTCAGATCATTTCCCCCCAAGACTTTGTTGAACAATGGAGAATAGCAGTCCACTTCTTTGAAACTATACTTTACAGTTTAGCCTACCTAAGTTTTATAAACTAGAGAACATAATCTAACCCAGTCTTGGTTCATAAAAAATTATGAGCAGTCAAATGTCAAAAACTATCTCATGGCTTTTTTCGAGTAGGGAATATTATGACAGATCAAAGGAGATTTTCCTCCCCCTCTACTCTGCTCTTTTGACACCTCACCTGGACTTTTGTGTCCCACTCCAGGATCTTCAGCACAGAAAGAATATGGACCTGCTGGAGTGAGTCCAGATGAGGCAACAAAGATGATCAGAGGGATGGAGCACATATCCCATGAAGACAGGCTGAGAGAGATGGAATTGTTCAGCCTGGAGAGGAGAAGGCTAAAAGGAAACCTTATAGCACCTTCCAATACTTGAAGGGGCTCTAGAAAAAGGATGGAGAGGGAATTTTTACAAGAACGTGTAGGAAAAGCAAGGGCTAAAGGTCTTACCTGAGAGTAGGTTTAGGTAAGATGTTAGGAAGAAATTCTTTCCCTGTGGGTGTGGTGAGGCACAGGAAAGAAAAATACCAATTCTTATAGATAGAAACATTCATTGATAGTATCACTCAAATATTCAACCTTTGAACACTTTTATAATCAGAATTTCCAGTAAAGTAGCTGTTCTGCCCAAGACTGACAGTTATTTGTTCCCTTGAGAGTTCAAAATTATGCAAATCAATTATCCTTAATGAAAAGGGGTTTTGTTTACATACCTGCCCTTTTGCACGTGCTCAGCTTGATTACAACTTGGCAAAGCATTTCAGCAGTTGCTTGTTCATTATGATTTTGCCATTGTATCTAATAACTCTTATTTTTAATCATATATTGTAAAACACTGACACTTAAAAGAGAGGCTATTCTAACTTATACTATTTTTTATTTTTTTTACTATTTTAGTAATAGTAATCTAATAATAATCTCCTACATGCTTTCAAAAAGTTTAAGTTTACAGTTCTTATATTTCTAGCTCTTGGCTGTTCAACTCATCTTGAAGAAGAAATGTCTCAGGAGCCCCAAAACCATGAGTAAGCATTCTTGTTTACTAATGTCTTTCTCATGCTGCTACATATGGCATGAAAAAAGCCCAAAAAGTTAGATGGAGCACAAAAGATAACAGGCTGAAAATAGAAAATAAATCACCAAAAACTTCAAGAATTTACTTTCTACTTTTACAAAACCTCAAAGGGGGAAAACCAATTAGTTTTATAAAAAATATTGGTTATATGTGTTAGACAAAGATAGAGAACAAATTAAAAGACCAGCATGGTACTCAGGGAAAAAACCCCTAAAATTTACTTTCATTTCTGTTCTCTGTTCATCACTTTTTCAGTTCTTACATTCAGTTTTCTTCCTAAGAGTGCAAGTGTCCAACACCACTGCTGTCTTGGAAGACACTTTAACATCTTGCTCTGAGTGTTGTCTTCTCAGTATCACAGCCCACTGAAAGAAGAAATTCAGATCATTTTGTTGGCTCCAGAACAAGAAATATAATATTTATGGATGCACAGGTAAAAGCAAAAAGATTTTGTACTTCATCCTTGTTCTTTTTTGTTTGTCATGTACATTTAAATACACACCTGCAAGAAAACAAAACAGAAATATGGAAGAAGGAATAGATATGACATTTTATGTCAATATATACGATTTACTGTTCAACTTCTCTATTTGCAATATGTGTATGTGTGCATACACACATACAAAAGAAGAAATAAAGAATTAGTAAAATTGGAAACTTTCTGTTCTGATAATAAGAATCGTGCCATTAGAGGATTTCTGAGACTGCATCTTGAATCCCTTTTGTATCAATATTCATGGAAAATGTACTGCTCAAACAGTTGACACAATACAGACTTACAGCTGAGACCAAAAATACTTTTCCCTCTTCCAGTATTCACAGGGCACCTAACAAAACATGGGCATAGATGGTTCAGGTCTGCCAGATGCTTCTATAGTAAGAGAAACAACTGTTTGTAGTGCAGTGCAATACCTACTAGCAGAAAATCCTGGAAGCGATTTAGAAAATCATGCAATTTCAACCTGCCATTTCCTTTTATAAAGGAAACTTAAAACATACTGACTGATTTTTTATTAATTTTCATATAGTCATAATTTTTGTTTTCTTTGTCTATCAACTGTTAAAATGGGAAAACTAAACTTTCAGCTTAGGCTATCCCACCTAACTTCCAATACAGACATACATATGCCTGAAAAAAAATAATAAGTCATTGTGCTAAATTTGTCTATCTGGTATCCCCTTGGGTTCGGAGTTCCCAAAACTAAATAGCATCCTCTTTCGGCAATATCTAAATGCAAATTAGTTTAATTTTAAGGGATGTGTATATTAGGAAACATGGAGGCTGTTCTTAGGTTTTCAGGCTTTTAAGAACTTTCTTCACTGTGAAATCCTAGTTTCAATGTCCATTATAGAATATACAGTGGTAAAGGATGATCTCATTTCTAGAAAATTTGTGTTCATTTTGCCTTCCTTGCTGCCCTACTTTCTGCCAAATCTTGCTGGCAGTAACATCTCGGGTATTTTCTTTATTGTCCAGCATTATCCTATATAATGAGTACACAGAACTCAAATCATACATCCTTCAATTCTGAGTGCCTTTTTGGGCACCAGGTAAAAGCTTGCATATAACATCAGCAGATTAAGACTCATTTGTCTATGGAGCATAAGACAGTTTTCATTCCCACTTTATGTAACAGTGCTTACATATCCTCTACCCGTGGTTGTAAGAAGACACAGATAATTGAATTATATACCTATGAGTTGCAGTTTTTTACACAAATAAATATAAACATATATTTTATTTGTTTTTCATGTAAGACTGATTAAAAATATATCAACATTTATTTATGGTAAATAAATTAGTGAAATTACTAGATAACAGCAATAAAATAAAATAGAGGACAGTATTAGGCCATCTGATAGGAAACTACACAATAAAATTATGGTTGTGATAATTTGAAAACTATTATTACCTATCAATTCTTGAATGACAAAAAGTGCAGAAGGGAAAAATCAGTATCTATCATAATATTTTAAAAATACACCACACATTACTGTATGAATTCTTAATGAAACTAAATAAAAACATTTCATTAAAGGTAAATTTTTGATCCTTCAGTTCAAGTAATACCAAAAATGAAATAAAACTTTTTACTTTTTGTACTGTATTTCAAAATATAAACATATGGAAATATTTCCCTGAATTGTGGCATACAATGTATGTATTAGCCTGATTAGAATCCTATTTTGACAGTTCACTAAGTGATTTTAAATAGCAACAGGTTGTGTTGGCTCCCAGAGAAGTTAGACTTTTAAGTTGTGGTTTGGCAATTCAAATGCCAAAATTATATTCCTTTTGAAAGGTATAGGGGAAAATTAATCAGAGATGGTAAGTAGACAATTGCTCTCAGGAGTATCTTTAGTTATGGAGCTCTGTCATACATCACTGGAAAGATTTTTCTTTTCTTCTGAAAAAATAAGAAAACTAAGTCTACATCGAAAAATCAGGATGTGTTTGTCTTTTCAGAAAATTATAAACAGTTTTATTTGCCTTACAATCTGAAGTAAAGCAGGAGGGATTTTTATCTTTTTCTAGCTACAAAGTGTTTCTGCATACTACTTTACCATGGATTTGCCACAGGAAAAATAGACATAAGCATCAAAGAAATCACAGAAATTAAACACCTACTTAACAAAATAAATCCTTTAATGTGTTTTTTTGATCACTAACAGCATTACACAACTATTACAGCCTATTCTTGAGTAGCCTGGATCCATCATTTGGCCTCCAGTGGATGATAGGAACAGGAATAAAGAGTTTAGCTAAACAAACATGGCATTGATTGATAATAGGGATAGGTGCTTTGATCAATTTATAAGAAGATGAAGCATTTGAAGGATCATGAAAAGAAATATTTTCTGCACTAAATCTCCAAGAAGCTTTCAGAACTGTGATTACCAGGGGGATTATTTCCTACTGTATCATACAACAGACTTTACAGGCATTTACTTGAAATTGTAAGTACATGGAGCTGGACCAGAAGTCAACAGCAAAGGACGCCTTGGAAATAGTCTGTATGCAAGTTTTCTTGCTTCCATATCTACAAAATTAAATAAAACATTAAGAATTATCCATTCAAAACAATACCTTCAGGAACAATGTGCAGCCATTGTCCCTACTTCAGCATTTCCTTCGTCTATTGTCATCTGTTTCTTCAGCTCCTTACTTTTTAAATAATTTTTCCACTAGTTTCAACTTTCTGCAGCTTCAGAGTAATTTTCTTGTGTCATTACAGTGCATATTTTATTACTCAGACATAGTACTATACACCATGTAAACTCTGTCTAGTTGTCCTTATTAAAAAACATATAAGATATTACATCCCATTCTTCAATTCTCCATTTCTTTAACTATTTTCTTTCAAAGTTAGATATACCAAATGTATACTTGGGAATAGCTCCTTCCAGTAAAAGAGTACCAAGAACTACAGGAAGAAATTATTGATTTAAAACTAATCCTGTGTTTTCATCCTTTTCCTGCATTTCTTGATGGCTATTTTAACAATAGAGTGAGGACAAAGCTAAGCAAGTAGAATTACACCGTAGTTCTTGAATTTCCTCTGTATTTCTATATCTGACCACTGTGCAATCCCAGTTTCTGATCTAGGTTTAGATGATTTCGTTGGATAGAAATGGAAAGGGAAGATAACAAAAACTAAGCGAACATAGCATAAAACCAAAACTAAAAATCTATCACAAATTATTCCTTGCATATCAAATCTTCATTTTAGATAGCCTGCCTGAAATCTAATTTCATTAATTTATTTGAGGTTTTAAACTATTTTCTTATTAACCCTCACCAATATGATACGCTCATCCTATTTTGGAAGTTGTTTTTTCCTCCTTATTTTATGTCTCAGGCTTTGATGTATCTGTTTTACCTATTTGACGTTATTTTGGTTGGCTCTGTGAAGTTAAATCAAAGGGCTCTGCTAGCCATAATGAGCAGAAAACAACTAATGCCATCATAAGGATATCTTCAGTCAGAATACTAGAACTCCTCAGGGGAAATAATTGGTGAATCAGCCAGTAAGAAATATCTTTCATCAGCCCATTTCTCAAGGTTAGAAAGACCACTGAACTGTAAAGACCACAGTCTGGAGGAAAGTAGAGGGGAACACGCAGCAGGAAGAGCCACAGGAAGAGGAAAGTCTGTCTCAGTGCCAAGTTAGACCGAGGCCCTTGCAATGGTGTGGCAGCGAGCTCAGGTCTTTCCTCAAAACTTCAGCTTTTAAATTAGTCTTGCAGTAGGTGAGCTCCAGGCTGTTTGCCTCCTATGTACTTTGGGGTGAATAAACAGCAAGTCTATTTAAAAGACTGTGTAATTACTCACATGCCCAGGCCTCCTGGAGGAAAGTGTCCTTCAGTATTAACCACCTTGCACTTTCACAGTCAGAGGATTTCAATCATATTAGAGAGATCCATACTGAGACTGAAGATTTGTGGGGATCCACACAGAAAGGTTTGAATATATCAAGGACTGATACCTAGACATTGTTTCTTCTCTAAAAAAAAAAAAAAAAAAAAAAAAAAAAAAAAAAAAAGGGTACAAAGCCCTCTTTTACCACTAATACCACTAATCAGACTGAGGACAAGTAGTCAAGTCATCTCTCTGAGTTAGAAAGATTCCCCTAGTAGAAGAACCCACAGGACAGAATCTAGAAAAGCTCACAGGTACAATTTACCCAGAAGCAGTCAAAAAACAAACAAACAAAAAAAGACATGAAGAAAGAATGACTTAATATGAAATATTTTGATATAACAGAAAGGAAACAAAAAGGTTAAAACAATTCATTTTGACACATTCCCATCAAAAATTGTGTTAGAAGCAATGCAGGCCCACAAGATGGTTCAGTTTTCTTTAGATAAATGCTGTTTTGTCAGAATTGCTCAGTGTGATATTTTTCATCCAGATTTACAGCTGTGGCAGTAAGTGACTCTTGACATTAATATTGTTCCTCCATAACACCTGTCAATCTCAAGATGCTTTGCTACATCACTAAATATTATCACTACTCTCTTGTTCTACAAACAGAAGAAAGAGAGACATGGATGGGGACAAAGAATATCGTTCTTATACCAGGGTGCTTCATCAGTGGAAACAGAAATGGAAACAACATTTGTGCCACACCCAGAGGACTGGACCTTGGAGTGATTGTCGCAGCTGCCTTGTGGGCAGCTACTGGCTCCACAGACACCATTTACTCTGCATGCACCTACATACTATTGTGGCTTCCAGGTCAGCAGGGACATCAAGGTCTCTGACTACCACTCCTGCTACTGCCTCACTCCTGAGGTGAAAATACCTATACCAGCTATTATTAAGGTTTTCCTTAAAAAGGAAACAACCTGTATTCACAATCAAGGCAAGAAAGATGACATACTTGCCAGTTACAGTAAAGGCCATCTAGAGCCAGGTACAATTCATCTTAGTTCTGTAAATTAAACACAGCAGAGGAAGTATTAGTGGGATACATGAAACACAGCATCTCCTGTTAACTATCTCCCCATCCATCCAACACTACAGCACCCGAAAGGGAAAAGCTCCCATTTGCACTTGAGTAGTTCATGCAAATATTGGTACTCAGAGGCTGGAACTACATTTAAGTCCAGGACCATGTTAAATTTCTAATAATTTAACTGTGTGGGACACCATACAGCAGACCCGGGTGACATCTGCTGCCAATATTCACTAGCACATAGAACAAGCACCACTAGTTTATTTCCATGCCTATTTTCTGCTAGAAAACTCTCCAAATTTCTTAATTTTCTAAAAAAGTTTATTTGTGGACATGTCTCAGCTTTCCATGCTGAAATCCCATGACAGGCATAATATTTCTCTGTTTATATTCCATTTTTAAAATTTAGACTAAGACATGAAATGCACTTAAATGGTGCATTAAGTTATAAAATTCCAAATTCAACAAAGGCCTATAGAGTTACTTATAATATTGTTAGCTATTATGTTGATGGTTGTGTCTTAAGTGACTGTATTAAAAGGGAGATTTAACTTTTTTATGATAATTATTGTGCTGAATTTTCTACCAAGGTCCAAGAAACTCTTTTGTCTGTCTCACAAATTTTATGTGTACTAGCCAAACTAGATCAGGATGCTCCTTTTAGCAGCTCCAGATTGGGTTTCTTCATTATAACATCTCCAGATCTGTAAATTAATGTTCTAGCATATCTCTTCCCTAAGTAAGAAAACAAGCTAAAGTTCAAACCATATCAGAAGTTTAAAAACATAAAATTATCATATTAAAGGTTAGGAGTTCTATTAAAGTCAAGAACATGTTACAAATTATTCTGGAACATTCAGTTTTACAGTTTCACTTCTCAATGAGAAAAGGCTGACATGCTATAAGCAGAGAGAGCATGAAGCACCAGATACAGCAGAGTACAAACTGTGAAACAACAAACAGTGATCCTTTTGATAGCATGGGACAAACATGTATAGAAATGTCAAATGATAGCCCAGGGAATAATACTGTCTACAAGTAAACATTAATAAAAACATGGGGAAGGTAGACAAGCTAAAAATCAGATACTAGAAATATTTGAGTACTCTTTTCATCTTTTAGATAATAATCTTATCTGACAGAGTAGTAATCTTTTTTTTCTTGTTGTTTATGCATTCATAAATAAAATCTGTCACAGTATTCGTCTTCAGTGAAAACTCAAAACCATTGTATTTTTGGATGGTGTCATTAGCACTGGTCTCATTTGTGTCTAGAAATGTTTTGGTTGCTATGGAATACAATGCATTAATTAGAAATTCCTCTCCCAATTACAGTGCAAAAGATTTGGTCAGTGCTACAATAATTCATAAAAGAACTTCAGGAAGAAAAAAACAAACAGCAGAAAGCAATTAAAACTTAAGGACAATTCAGCTTTTCTCAAATTGCAGTTCATTAATATATGCTTTAATAAACTGACTGCTTTATTTTAAAAGGCCTTTCTAGAAGGGCTTGATGCTACCTACAGCATGGCAGGTGGTGCCAGTTCAGTCATCTCGGCATTGATTGCTTCTTCCTTGCCAGAGTCTGCTATAGTCAGTGCAAAAAATACACAAAAGCTGACCTTTTCCTCAGGGCCACTGAAATGTCAGACATCAGCTCTAGGTATCCAAAAAGAAATTTAGCTTCTTGACAAGAAAAACAAGCATAGTTTTGACAGATGTCTCTCAAGCTGAAGCTGTGGTCTGAAAGCCCCTGTTCATGCATGTCACCAGTGCTTAGTGTGCAGTCATAGCAGAGATCAGACACTCTGTTGGTTTTCCTCATGTTAATTTGGAGAAAGGATCAGAATCCAGGTCTATCTGTCTCTGGAATTTGGGATGATCATTAGGCTTCAGCATCATGTTCCCTATCTCTGAAATATCATATTATTTGTTGCAAAAGGTTCAATCCAGACAGGGTAGTTCAACTTTTCTGGGTTAGGTTACTCTCCTGACAGAAAATGTGAGGTTTATCTCAGTCAGAGAAGGTATTGAATATTCATCTTATACATCTTGTGGCAATTTGGGGCTAAAAGTAAAAAGTGAGCTTTGGTCAGTTATTTGAAATATCAGTAGAGGTCTCAATTTTCAACCCTGACTAGTGTGTCTGAGAACAAAAGCAAGATCTTAGACCCATTAGGAAAGTCAGCATGTCTCATGGTTCTACCCACACTGGTTCTAACTCACCCAGGTCTTCTTCTGAGGACTCTCAGAATCTGCCTACATGGGTGGATGGGATTGAGCTTTGCCTGCACCCTGAGCTCCTCAGACATTGCTCAAGTCAGTAAAGGTGCTTTATTTCAGTGCTGTGGTGTGTTCACATTACTGAACCAGGATGAACCAAGACCCAGATCAATCACTAAAATGTTTCTGCAGAGCCAAAATCAAAGATTGTGTGTCCTTTCTTCATCTCTTACCATTATGTGCAAGTTCAAGGCACAACCAGCTCATTTAGTGGTAGGCAGCACTATCCCATAATCTATTAGAGGATGTTACCTTTCCATTTAATTAAAGTAATAGAGAGATATATTGCAGTCAGGCTTGCTAATCAGTCACTGTAAAAATATCTTGGCCAAAGTCCTGTTGCCTAACAACAGTAGTAGCCTTACTTTCTACATAGCTTCTGGGATAATTCACAAAACAAATCTAATAACTTTAACCAAGGAAAAAGCAATACTTCATTGAAAGTAGCCACTAAATAGTTACTGTGTCTTCTATTTCACAAATGAAATATTTTCCTTTTTTTTTACCATCTTCCTAAGGAAGCAATGTTTCCATTTCAGTCCTCTGCATATGCACAAACAAGTGGGAATATTCACCTTTTGTCTGTTGGTTCCCTACTAAATTCTTTCAAACTTGTAAGAGATCAACCACACTGAGAAAATAGTAAGAGTCTGAACAGGTATTGCAATTTTACAATCAGCAACACAGTTGAAGAGAATGAGCCTTGTGGGGGTAAAAAGAGCATGAAATTACTTTCCCTTACACCTTTCTTTCTTTTCCTACCCCTGGTAGGAATGTTTTGTCACCAGCACAGTGCCTGTGATTCCTGAGCTGAAGAGGACTAAGGGGAGATACTGTTACCTGGTTTCTGAGGAGGTTTTCTCCATCTGAATGTAGCATTGAGCTGATATTAGTTATGGGGTCTTAAAGATCTCAGATCTGCTTTCTCACAGATGGGCAGAAAGAGCAGGAGATATGACAGATAAAGTCCTTTGATGTCCACCTCTTGTAGCGAGCCCACAGAAAAGCAGGTTTCTGATGTACTATCTACTTCAACAGGTAAGAAAATGCAGAATTCTGAAAATATAACTGGATCTAATACTTATATACCATATACCAGAATAAATACTCCTCTTCTTGAGCAAAAATCCAATGGTAAACAATTTCTTAAAACATACATATTCTTTCTAGTAATCATATTTTAAGGGATATGAGGAATAGGTGGCTTTCCTTTCACCACTTAATAGAAATTTAAAAGATGCTAAAGGATGAAGCCTACATGCCATAATTGCACAGACTGCCATTTGTATGATTTTACACTGTCCAGTCACAAACCATCTTCAATGAGAAATGCTGCTGTTCACTGTAATGAATTTCAGGAACATAATTACTGATACACTAAAAAACTTGGTTTTTTAATGTGAAAACTTACATTTTAAAAAAATTGTTTAATTATATTATAAAACATAAGAGCAGGAAACAGAAAAGAGATTAAAAGAACAAAATATTAGCATTTACTTCCTGACAGAGATGATCATTTCAAGCACTGTCTCTGTGGTTTGGAAATAGGTAATTACAGTAGTAATAAAGAAAATTACCACTGCTACGGCCTTCTTGCAGAACATTCACAACTGCTTACAAAGGAATATGAAACATCCATAGTAATAAATGATAAATAATTGATGCATCAATATTAATCATCAATGGTGTAAATAGTGACTTATAGAATATAAATGAAAAAGAGTAATTTGAAAAATACTTACAGACAAATATTAGATTACCCTTATTTAAGAAAAATGCTAAAATATCAAAGTGACTTTGCACTCCCATCTGCATTTTGCAGCTTGATAATATCTCACCAGTTTTTCCATCAGGACAATTACTTCTGTCATGTCATCCATTAGATCAAATGCCCTCCATGTTCTTAAGGAAATTCTTTACCTGCCGTTGGTAGATATATGATAATTTTTTCTCAGAAATCTGTGGGAATTTGGCCATGATTTCAACAAAAAAAAACCAAACTTGGCAAGACAGAACTTGACTATTCCTTTTCTCCCAGTCTAACCCATTTCTTTGCACATTCTTCATCACTGCTTCCTGTGCAATGTTTTGGGGTTTTTTTTACAAAAAATTATTCAGGGTCACATCCAACTCTGTCTGAATCTTAATAATATTCTGGACATTTTCCTCTTTGGCTGCTGTTCAAAGATAAGTGCCATCAATGGGTTTAGCTCGATTAGGTAAAGGCCTGACCTGCATAGTCTCTAGCAGAAACTTTGCACAATTTGGGCCAGGAGGACAGTGGCTCTGTGTATTTGAGGATTAGTTAATTTTTCTTATCTTATACTCCAGGAAAAATCTCTAAATAACTCCTTCTCAGCAGCTATTTAATACTCCTCCAAGACATGTAAACATGTTTCTTTCACTTCCTATGTGCTAAGAGGTAGCTGGGCTTATTAGAGATAACATCAGATATTTCAGTTTAGCTGAGGTTTCCTGACTGTGAAAGAGGAGGTTCTGACCCTCTCCTTTCACCCTTCTCCTGTACTATAACTTCTGGATCAGTCTCAGGAAAATACTAGAACTCTATCCTGATAGTTAAAAAGGGAAATTTAATAATCTATCTGATTTACCATGCATTCAGCACAAGAGAAGCAGGGAAATCTGGTCCTGGAAGGAGGACAGGAAAAGAAGATAGCAAGGAAAAGAAGACTG